CTAGTCTTTAAGATTAGAAGTCAAAAACAAAAATATTAAGGAAAGGAAAACTTAATTGATCTTTGAAGTTACCACTATTTATAGGAGTTTGTCTGAAATATTTTTTTCTTGCAGGACTCAGGAGACATGGAGTTTAAGAGTTTTTTTTAAGTGCTAAAAGGTATTTGTTTTTGCAGCATGATGCTCCAGCCAGCAAAGAGATGTGGAAGCCAAGCTAGAGGCATTGTCCAGTCACCCTGAGGTGTTAGTCTTTGTTGTTTATCTTTCATTCCTTCACCCTTAGGAATCCTATCTCTCAGATCTTAAAGTCTCCTGCTGGCAGATTTTTATGAGGTGCACAGTCCATTCTGAACTACTGGCAAATGTCAGAGGGCATCCCAGCAACCTGTATTAAAAAGAAGGGTGCTCAACAGTCATGATCAGGAAATAGAGGCAGAAGGGAAATGGTCATGTGACAGAAGCAGATGTCATTTGTGCTCAGTGTTTGTACACAGCAGAAATGCAATAGTTGACAGCTAAAGTTAAAGTTCCTCAAGTAATCTAACTTCAAACTCATTAGCTATTGAGAGACTTGACCTGGGAGGGGGAGGATTAAATAACACTAGGATGTTTGAAAATGCTGTGGGAAGACATTGTTTTATGTTTACTTTAAAAATAGTTTATATATATATACACACATACATGCATATAGATGTAGAACTTAAATGGAGTTACGCCATATGCCACCTGGAGTGATCCCATTCTCCCAAAAGCCATAGACTGTCTAACAAAAACCCCAGTTCCAGGAATGGGAAACTTTGCAAGTTGATTAGCGTAGAACAAAAGACTCCCGAAACAGTATAGGATACTGCCATTGTTCTTGGTTGCCTCCCAGAACTTGAAGGACCTATTGCTGAAGACACTACACACTTTGGACACAGGACTTGAAGGAATCACCTTGAAGACTAGTGGTAATAGCACCCAAAGGTCCTATGCAAGCTGCCAAGATAGAAAAGTTGTTGATCCTAGCCAGCTGTAAAGCCTGTGATTCACGCTGGTGACTGGCCCAGCAGGATATTCCCAATGGTTCAATGACCAGCACTTTTATCTTGGGTATAACTGATAGCTGTGTAATTGAACTTAAGGCCTGCTCATTGGGAGGGAAATCTTGCCTAGTACTATGAACCAAGTTAACTACCTGTGACTGCAGAGGTCATGGACCCTAGAAGATAATGTACTTTTATAACTTTTCTAAACATTGTATAATTTCTAATTATGCTTTATTTGGGTTTTTATTTATGTTTTCTATTAGTTGTATTCCTTTTGTGGGTATTTGAATATAATTTACAGTGGCTTTTGCTTTACAATTAATATTAAGATCTCTTTTTACCAGAGAGGTTTGTGACGTCCATGTATCTGTCTTGTACCTTTGGAGGCAATCCTTTCTGGTATTGTTCCCTTTAAGATTGTCATCTTCTTGTAGCTGTAATTTTTATTGTAGACAAGAAATACCAATTAAAAATGGCTTAAACTGTTAGGACAGTCATTATACATTTCTTAAAGTCTAAACGCAGAGTTGACTCCAGCCACCCTGCTCTCTGCAATAATGTCAGTGACCCTGGTAGTCTTCTCTCTCTGTTAACATAACACAAACTTTATCACTACAGTATTTTTCCTCATACTCACAAGATGGCTGTCTACGGCAATCAAGGCTGCATCCTTGTTCATTACCAGCCCAGCAAAAATTGCAGGCAATTCTTCCCTGTGATGTTCATTTAGTATAGTTGGAATAACTTGGTTGACCATCTGTCTGTCCACCCCCATGTTATTAACATTCATGGAAAAGTCCATGAGCAGGGAGCTGTTGACCAGGTCAGGACCACCAGCAGCCTTAGCACTTGGCATTTTGAACTAGATAATTGATCTGTGATTCAAGATATTGAGCAGCATCTGTAAGAAACTGAGGTATTATGGTAGTCATTTTAAGACAAGGAGCCAAAATGAAAGCGACGAAAGAGTAGTAGCCTGGGCTCCTTCTGGCCCATCTCCCTCCTGTGGACAGATGTGAGGAGTGATGATCTGCAGTTCCGGCAGGACAAATTCACTGGCACGCAGTGAACAATGGGTGGTTCCTGGTGTTTCCTCCATTAGACTGGCTGTTCCTGCTATTGTGTAGTAACAGGAAATGCTCTATTGTAGACACTCATCCCATTTCCATTGTTGTACACAAGGAGCTGGTATCACCCCTCAGATTATGCCGTCTACTTTGGAAACTATCACTTGGTGTCTACGTTCCAGCCAAGCACCTTCCTGGGTGAACTTCACTGCGCTGAGCAGCCCTGGCTCATCAGGCAGGACTGAGGCTAAAGCTTCTTTTCATCTTGTGAAGGATAATTTGTGTTCCTATTTTCATATGTGAAGGATTTTTTTTATGGTTGAAAACTGATTATTTTCCCCCATTTTTCAACTAGGTATCACTTTTTTTTTTTCTCATAACAGGTTTTGGTGAGATTAATGGTAGTCCTACCTACTGTTGTCAGAATCAAATCAAATGACATTTAATAAAGTGTAAGGTGAAAAACCGATCTGAGACATTATTTCTCTTCTGCTGTATTGGGGCTGTGTGTTGTCCAAATGTCAGCCAGGCCTCTGATTTCAGT